ATGTGGTCCCAAGACCTGCGACCTGCCTGCCCTTCGTGATAGATTTACAATTGGTCTCTGTTGGGGACAGCATCTGCTCTGACTGGGGGAGGAAGAGAGCCAAAAACTGCTCCAGAGTGGGTGTGAGATGGGGTAGTGGCAGTAGGATTTGCTAGATAGGGTAGTAGGCTCTCAACCTGCTGAGATGGAGGAGCCCTAGGCTGGGGGACAAGGGGATAGTCAGAGAGGTCAAAAGTGGTAAAAGAAGAGAAGGATTTGAGTCTCTGGGGCTTAAAAAAGGAAAAATCTAGGAGGGAGAGCAGCTAAGGACAGAGTAAATGGTTAATGCATAAAAGGGGGGACATCAGTGGGGAGAGCAGGGAGAGATAGTTTTTGTTGATTTTTACTTATCTGAACTATGCTGGACTCAAGGCTGCAAGCTGCTACTAAGCACAACAAGTTTTTCTCTGCCCTGTTTTGTTCTCTTTAACCCTTCCAATACTAAATTAGACTGATACAATATACTTGAAATTAAATAAGGAAGCAGTTCTTACCTGCTCTTAGTAATCTAAGAAATACTGGCTGTTTACTTTATAGTAATCATTAAAGGATTGAGGTTTCTAAGGATAGGGAATTACTGAGTAGAAGATCTGAGGCATGGTTCTGCATTTTTAAAGGACATAGAAAGAAGGTTTAAAGGCTAATTTGAAAGTATGTAATTAGAAGGAGAAATGTTAAAAGGAAATTAATTAAATGATACAGGCCAGTAAGCCAGAAAGAGTAAATAATTTATATTCTGCCTCCCTAAACAGAGGGTAAATAGTTATGCCAAAGTACTTAAGGGGGACTGATAAAAGAAATCCAACAGTTACTGTTTCCTTATAACTCTGAAGAGTCCATAAAAAGGACTGGCAAGGAAAATCAGAAGATCTTAAGGCAGGTCAGTAGCTTTTTCTCCTTATGTAATTCCTCCGAAATTTGGCAATACTTGCTAAATAAATCACGGCAATACATTTCTTTGCATAAATTCAATAAGACTGGTTTCCAATAGTGGTTTTATTGACCAAAAACTTTGACTGGAGTATCATGTTTTAAAGAGCCCTGTCTGAGCTCTGAAGACTTAAAGCCAATAAGAGTGCCATAGAGAAAGCCTGGTATCTTGCTTGGTTGCCCTGAAAATAGCTGGCGCTGGAACATCAGGCCCATGCCCTACCATCACTGGCGGTTGGTCAGAGTAGAAGGGGAGCAATAAGGATGCCTCTGTGTCCCTGCGGAACCCCCACACACTCTGGGACACGACGAGTAGGAGGGCTGCTGAGAAGGGCCTTAAAGCAAGGACAATGGGCCCGGGCAGAGCCACTGCAGTTGAGGAATTCACCTAACTCAGCAGATACTGCAGGCAGGACTGATAGCAGCTAGATGGCTTGGTTTCCTGGCCCTATGGGGCACATTAAGATTCAATCATGAAATTCCAGCAAAGGTAGTCAGTTACCATTCTTGTTGTGTTTATGCAATCAGGCCAAATTGAATACAGTAAATAAATTAGTATTTTAATAAAAAGAGGGATAATTTTAAGGAGAAAAACTCTATTTCAATAGAGGTTATTAAAAATGAAATGTTTTCTTTCCCTCCCACCAGACCCTTTGCCCTTTGTTACAGTTTGTCACAAGCCCACCTCCTTCTATGCCCAGGCCTCATCGTTCCTCTGACAGACAGCAAGGATCTCTTGGCTCTGAAAGAAACCTTCAACCCGCCTCAGCACAAAGCAGCTACAGAAGAAATCCTGTGTCCCCTTTCCCTGAAATAATTCAGAGCCAGGATCCTTGAGGGAATATATTAAGTAGTAAGACAGACATGAGCAGAGCAAGGACGATGGGCCAGATGTAACTAAGTCTTTCCACCTCTATGTATGTAAGACAAGGGGACTCCCCAGAAGCAAGAGGGAACTAGGCTGCAGACGAAGCAGCCCGGGAGGCTGCCCTAAAACCAGTGGGGCCTCTTCAGATTCTCGTGACTCTTCCAGACCCTGACCTACCCATATCACCAGCTTACATGGAAACCCAATCTAGAAATGCTGAAATCCACAACTAATCTTTACTCAAGTTCTTACAGGCTTTACAGTCTACCCAGAAAGCAGACCAGAAGCACGTCCGAGATGCTCTGCCTGTATCCAGTTCATCCCTTCCAACCTGGTGACTCTGTTTGGGTAAAGAAATTTGCCACCCAAGGACTGACTCCTACCTGGAAAGGACCACTCCCATGGCAGTCAAGGTTAACGGGATCCTGATGTGGCTTCATCACACCCAGCTTAAGACAGCCCAGGCAAAATAGAGAGTCTAGGACTCTTCACACCCTCTAGAGATTACTTCTGGCCCTCATTCCAGGCCCTTATCTTATAAACAGGCCCACTGACTTTATTTGGCAGAAAATTAATTATAGTCCTCAGGGGTCAATATAACTCTCTCCCCAACAATGACCCAAAAGGGTCAAATGATTTGACTCATGTACATAAAACCAGTGGGGAATGAAGTATCCATCTTATATAAAAACTGCTGTTTGAAATTTTAACGCTGGTAGTATGGTTTCTGTTTTAAATAATAAGGAAAATAAGACTACTCCCATTCCAGAGAGGCCGTAAACTATGCCCCAGACAGAGTTGTCAGTGCTGACACCCAGAGAGTTGCCAGGCCTTGAGATATGGTCTCATGGCCCCTTCCCAGCACACAGGTCTTCTTTCTCAGAAGGCCTGGAAGTCTCATTCCAAATTTGGGAGACAAAGGACTGGAAAAAGTATAAATAAAGAGAGTTTCCTCCATACTGGGGGCCCAGAATTTGAAAGATACATTTTCCTCTGGGCCTGCACAGAATATAATAATAAAATGTAACTCCTGTAGTCCACAGGAAGTGGGCCTAACCCATCAGTCAGACATCCTTAGCGCTGCCATTGAGGCGGGAGAGGTTCCTGCCACCGCTGCTGCACTCGCCAGTCATGAGCCCGGCTTCTGGCTGAGTGGCGCTCCCACTGTGGGAGCACACTGACCACCAGGGGGGCAGCTCCTGCATTGAGCATCTTCCCCCTGGTGGTCAGTGCACGTCATAGCGACCAGTCGTTCTGCTGTTCGATCAATTTGCATATTAGCCTTTTATTATCATAAAATATGCCTTTGAGATTCCAATTATAATCTGTTATCTGAGTACCCTCCTACATGTGACACCATAGACACCTCTGGATTTCAGTCTTTTATGAAAGCAAAGAAGCCCTATTTACTAGATCTATAAACCTTTCCTTTGTGGTTGATGCAAATCTAATGGATCTTCCCTTTGGAGAATGATGTTTATAAATCCCTGCAGATGATGTTTTATTGAATAGTACACTTGGAACCTATATCATTTTGCAAACCAATTTCACTCCAATAAATTCAATTAAAAAAACTAAAAGCAACAAATGAACAAATGAAAAACACCCCAAAACTCATAGACACAGTCCACAGTATGGTGGTTACTAGAGGGGATGGGGTTGGAGATAATAAAGGGTAAAAGGGGCAAATATATGGTAACAGAAGATTTGACCTTGGATGATAGGCACACAATTCAATAAACAGATCATGTATCATAGAATCGTATTCTTGAAACTTATATAATCTTATTAAGCAATGTCACCCCAATAAATTGAAAATTTTCAAAGAACCTAAATTAATGAAGAGAGATACAATGATACAATGTTAATTCTCTCCAAAGTGACATATAGATTTTATGTAATACCAATAAAAATCTCAGTAGAACTTTGTAGCTACATAAAAAAATTTATAAGGAAGAGCCAAGCAGTTATAATACCTAAAATACTTTTAAAAAAGGATATATTTGAAAAAATAGTATATTAAGACTGTGAAGCTACACTAATCAGGGTGAAAGTGTTTTCCAAAAAAAAGGTGTTAGAACAATTCATCATCTGTATGCAACGAAATGAATCTAGACCTAAACTTTACACTTTTATACATAGATTAACTAAAAATGGATTATAGATCTCAGTGTAACATGTAAAACTAAAATTATTTGGAAGAAAATATAAAATAAAATCTTCATGTCTTGGGATTAGGTATAGAGTTCTAGGAAGACAGCAAAGGCAAGCTTCATTAAGAATATGTGATAAATTGGATTTCAAAATGAAAAATGAAAAGACAAGCTACAGTTTAGAAAAAAAATTATAAAACATATATCAAATGACATAAAGACTGTCAAAAATTCAATAAGAAATAAATAATCCAGACTAAAAAAATGGACACAGATCCTCAATAAATATTTCATCAAAGAGGATATTAAAGTGTCAAATAAGCACATTAAAGATGGATAATGACATAATTATCAATTAATGAAATGCATATTAAACAATGATTAGATACAAGTACACATAGATTTAAAAAGTTAAAAAATTTAAAAGTCTTAACAATACCAAATTTTGGCAAAGATGTAGAGCAACTATAATTCTCATACATTGCTGGTGTGAGTACTAAATGATACCATCACTCTGGAAAGCTGTTTGGCAGTTTCTGATACAGTTAAACAAATATTTATAATACAGTAATCATACTCTGAAAGACATGAAACTTATGTTTAAAAGATATACATAGAATTCAGTTTTACTCATACTCACCAAAGCCTGAAAACAATGCAAATGTCCTTCAATTGGTATATTGTCTAACATCCAAACATGTACTACTACTCAGGAATTAAAAGAAATATATAGCACAGATGGATCTTATAGGCATTCTGCTCAGTAGAAGTAGCTAATCTCTAAAGGTTATCTACTACATGATTCCATTTATATGATTTCTCAACAAGACAAAACAACAGTAATGAAAGATACTAGTGGTTACCAGAGGTAGAGGGATAACTACAAAGAAATAGCATGAGGGAGTGTTTTAGAGTGAAGAGACTGTTCTGTATTGGTTAAATGTATTAAAAAATTCATGGATCTGTATATAAAAAAGTAAAATTTACTGTATAATTTAAAAAATTATGACTTACCATAAAGTAGAAATAAAGGTGCTCTGATAGTGTCAAGTCATTAAACAGTAAGTCATGCTGTGGGCAGAAGCCAAAGTTTTTTCGAATATCAGTTAGGTTCTTTGAGATGGGATATCCATTAACATAGACCTCTCCTCTGGTTGGAGGATGGCAACCTACAAGTAAACATGATAGAAGCTGAGCTTTGGTGAGCAAACATGATAAGACAATGAAAATTAGTATCTCGAATTCAGCCCACTTATGGATTACTCAAAAGAATGAGCACTATCTCCTGCAGAAGAACAGTTTAATAAAATGTTGAGTTACATCTGGGTGGTGGAATTAGCTATCTTTTAATTTTCTTTCCTTTCCGCTAATATATACTAATATTATATACTACTTAACTTCCTTTCCTTTCCTTTTCTTTTTGCTAATATATACTAATTTGTTGCTAATATATACTAGTTTGTTGCAATTGATATGGATTATATTGGTAATAATAACATTTAAATATTTTGTTATATTCCAATATATTTACATTGAAACCAGCCAGTTACTATATTTGTGACCTATTAGGTACTGTGTAAATGCTATGAAAAATAGATATCTATAATATAAAATTTTTATCCTTCAGAAATTTAAATATTAACAACCTGTACAGATTTTATGGGAAATGATTTGGTAATATGTAAGATAGAAATTATATAATCACTTAAACCCTATAAATAATTTATTCTACTTTAAAATATATTCTTTTTGATATTGAGATATAGTTGACATATAACATTATATTAGTTTTGGTATACAACATGATTAGATATATGTGTATATTGTTAAATGATCAGTTTAATTAGTATAGTTAACATCCATTACCATACATAGTTAAGAGATTTTTTTCTTGTGATGTAAACATTCAAGGTTTCCTCTTTTAGCAACTTCCAAATATACAATACAGTATTATTAACTACTAGAGGCCCGGTGCACGAAATTCGTGCACTGGGGGGGGGGTCCCTCAATGTGGCCTGTGCCCTCTCACAGTCTGGGAGCCCTGGGGGGATGTCCAACTGACGGCTTAGTGGGCTAGGAGCGCAGGTTTAGCTGCACCCCCGGCAAGGTTCAGTGCACTTCTGCTGTGGAGACGGCGCCACTGCTGTTGGGGAGGGGGTGTTGGGGGGGATGAGTCTGACCCTGAGGGGGCGCTTAGGCCTGCCTTCACCCGGGTCTGGAGTTGTAGGGAGGAGAGGCGTGCCTGGCCCCAGCGGAGGGGGCCCAGCAGTGGCAGGCCACTGGCCTCGGGGGTCTCGGGGGCCTCGGGAGCGCTGATGGGTTGTCGCAGGCATGCTATTATTGTGGGCACCCCTGGCGGGGGTGGCAGGGGAAGAGATTGGGAGTCGGAGATACGGCTGCAGCTACCCCCAAGGCTGGGTATTCTCCTGTCCGGTCAGCCTCCCCGTCCCCCCGGGGGTGCGGGGGCTGCGGTAGGGTGTCCGTGAAGGGGGATTGGAAGAGCTCCCTGTGGCTGCTTCCTCTTCCTTCTTTGCAGTCCGGGCTCCTGTCAAGCACTCTCTTCAGACCCCCGGGAACTTGGCTCCGGCCGCTCTGCCCCCACATGGCTCCCTGCAGCCCCTGCCCCACTTGGCTCTCCTGGCCGCCCTCCCGTCAGGAGGCTGCCAGGATGCCCTGCTGTGGGGCCACCAGGGAGTATGCGCTAAGACTTAGCTAAGCCCTAGCTAAGCCCCTGGCCTGCCACTTGGTGGCCCCGGGAGTGTGGCAGAGGCCACAGCGTGCGGCAGGCAGGCCCCCCTCTTTGCTCTTTGCTCGCCACGCCAGCCTTCGCTCGCTGCTTCTGCTCAGGGCCAGCCGGCTTTGCTCCATAGCTTGGCGCCTACATATGCAAATTAACCACCATCTTTGTTGGCGGTTAACCGCCATCTTTCTTGGCAGTTAATTTGCATATTGCCCTGATTAGCCAATGGGAAGCATAGCGGAGGTATGATTAATTACCCTTTTTGTCTCTTATTAGGATAGTTCCATAACATATTTATAACTATAAGTTTGTACCTTTGGTCCCCTTCACTCATTTAGCCAAGCCCCTATCCCCTGCTTCTGGCAACTACGAATCTGCTCTCTTCTATGAGTTCAATTTTTTAAAAAAGATTATATGTATGTGAGATCATATGATATTTGTCTTTCTCTGTCAGACTTATTTTGCTTAGCATAATGCCCTAAAAATCCATCCATGTTGTCACCAATGGCAGGATTTCCTTGTTTTTAATAGCTGAATTATATACCTAAATTATATATATATATATATATATATATATATATATATATCCTATATAATAATAGACAAACATGCAAATTAGCCATCCCTCTGCTACACTAAGCCACGCCCACCAGCCACACCCACCAGCCAATCCAGAGTGATATGCACATTAACCCAATAAAGATGGCAGAGACTGGAGCTGGGATACTTGCCTTGCAGCCACGGCTACCATGCAAGCATCCTGGCTCTGGGTGCTCCAGGCCTGTTGGAGACGCAGAAGTCAGGGGAGATAGAGAAGTCTGGCTCCAGCGCCTGAGGCTGGCTTCGGCCCAGCGATGAAGAAGCCACCTACCCCGTGATCCCAGGCCACAGCCAGCTGGAGAAGCCACCCACATTGATCCCAGGGGAGACAGAGAACCCGGGCCCAGTGCCTGAGGGTGGCTGCGTTTTGGGAGACGAAGAAGCCACCTGCCCGGTGATCCCAGGCCACAGCCGGCTGGAGAAGCTGCCCACACTGCATCACAGGGGACACGGAGAAGCCGCCCACCTGTGGTCCAGGGCACCAGCGCCTGTGGCCCAGGATATAGGTTCCCTCTTTTCCCACTGCAGTCATTACTTCAATATTCCCCTTCTGAATTTCTCTCCTCTGCCACAACCCAACTCCACTTTTCATTGGAAGGATACGGAACAGAGAGAGCAGTGTTAAAAGCTTACATTTTTAAGCTGGTAATGTTGGTACTTAAACATATAAATGGAAAACTAGAGTCCTTAAGGTAACAAAGGCTACAAAGGGAGGGGACAGGGACAGGACATGACATATTATATCCAGCAATCCATATGGGGAATGAAAACTTTGCAATGATGACAATTAGTGAAGATATGAATCAACTAAAATAGTTGACAGGGACAATTCTTCCATCTTTGAAAATATCTACATCAAGTCTGTTTAAATAGATTTTCATCTGCATAATCTAACACATTTTGACAAGACCACCACCACCATTGTGGTCAGTGTTGTGCTGATAAATGTTTAACAACTGACTCTCAATCAAAGAAAACAAAACCCTGATTTATACTATTGGCCAATTTCTGTGGCATAAATTCTCCATCCATGGCTGATTTCAGCTGCTAATGTGATGCCACTAAATGCAGAGCTGAGGAGAAATATGCAGTAATACACTATTATATTCTACCAGAAAGACCCAAAAGATATAATGTCAAGAGTCAGAACAGAAAAGTGTAGTAAATAATTGAGGAGTGATGAATTTAGAGCAGGGGTCCTCAAACTACGGCCTGCGGGCCACATGCAAATGCAATTATTGTATTTGTTCCCGTTTTGTTTTTTTACTTCAAAATAAGATATGTGCAGTGTGCATAGGAATTTGTTCATAGTTTTTTTTTTCAACTATAGTCTGGCCCTCCAACGGTCTGAGGGACAGTGAACTGGACCCCTGATTTAGAGTATGTATTACCTTTGGTTGTAATGTAATTTATTCACTTTTAAGATTATATAATTTAATTTTTAATAATGAACATGTTTAACAACCAGCTTATAAAATTCCTGAAAATTTGTGAGCCAGTAAGAGCAGGCTCTACTAGCACAATACTGAGTGGAGTGTAATGGTTAAATGGCATGGCTCATGGATTTGAAATGAGACTCAGCCACTTTTGGGTTTTACTGGTCAAGTTACCTGATCTCTCTGTATCTCAGTGTCCTCATCTGTGTCATTATAGCACCTATTGTATAGAGTTGTTGCAAAGGTAAAATGAAATCTGTGTATGACACAGCACAGCACCTGAAACAATAATTCACTCAATTTGTTATAAACTGTTACTGCCTCAAAACATTGTTGACAAAACTACTTATGCAGAAAGAATGAAATTTTATTGATGAGAAAAATGCCTTATTTTGCGATCTACATGGAGACAGTCAATTTTACTTCCTAGGCAGTAGATGGTAATCTACAACCAGAAACTGCAAGGGGAGAAATGACCTCAATCAACATGATTGAGGCAATGTATTATTAGCTGGATCATAAAGCAGAGAGGATGCCATACATTCTGGGATACATCTGCAGTAAGAGGCTTCACCTCAGGTATTAATTCTGATCAACTAAGCATCAGACTTAAGATGAATGGTGAGAAGGATTCTGAGGCTGCTTCTAGACTTAGCAGGAATAGAACTTTAATATATAAGCAACAGTTATTTGGGTAATGATGGCAAGAAAAAACATACCATGATCTATTCTAATAAAAGGGTAATATGCTAATTAGACTGCACGTCTTCCGGACGACCATCCGCACATCCTTCCTGACAAAGCTGGGCCCAGGCGAAGCCGCCTGCCGCAGTACCGGGCACCAGCACCTGTGTCTGGCTGAGGCCCAGGAGACAGAGAAGCTGCCCACTCTGTGGTCCTGAGCACCAGCACCTGTGGTTGCAGCCCGGGTGAAGCCATCTGCCCAAAATCCCCTGTGGCTGCAGCTGGCCTGGGCAAAGCCGTCCAGGGTCCCGTGTGCCTATGGCTGACCAGAGGGAGGGAAGCCCAGGTTCCAGGTGCCTGTGGTCGGCTGGAGGAGGGAATCCTGGGTCCCGGGTACGGGGCTGAGGCAGAGATGGTTAGGGGCAATCAAGCCAGCAGGGGAGCAGTTAGGGATGATCAGGCTGGCAGGCAGAAGTAGTTAGGGACAATTGGGCAGGCAGGCAAGCAGTTAGGAGCCAGTGGTTCTGGATTGTGAGAGGGATGTCCGACTGCCGGTTATCCCCTAAGGGGTCTCAAATTGGAGAGGATGCAGGCCAGGCTGAGGGACACCCCTCTCCGCCTCCTGTGCATGAATTTCATGCACCAGGCCCTTAGAGTGTGTGTGTGTGTATCTATCTATACAT